GCGGCATTCGCGAGGCTCGCAGCTCGCAGCCCCCTAAGGATTGCGATGCCTCGCTCAGATTTGCCTGGTGCTTCACTCCGCTGAACCCGTGACAGTCCGTCGACAGTTGCGACGGTTTCGCAGATCGCAGCGCCCCAAGGGCGGCGAGGTTTCCCTCAGATCTGCGCGGTGCCTCACTCCGCAGGACCCACCAGCAGCCCTCGAAAGCGGCGGCAGTGTCACATATCGCAGCCCCCCAGGGACGGCGAGGTCTCGCTGAGGTCCCCGCGGTGCCCCACTCCGCTGGACCCACCAGCAGCCCTCGAAAATGGCGACAGTGTCGCAGATCGCAGCCCCCAGGGACGGAGAGGTCCCGCTCAGGTCACCGCGGTGCCTCACTCCGCTGGACCCACCAGCAGCCCTCGAAGGTGGCGACGGTTTCGCAGATCGCAGCCCCCCAGGGACGGCGAGGTCCCGCTCAGATCTGCGCGGAGCCTCATCCCGCAGGACCCACCAGCAGCCCTCGAACGTGGCGATAGTTTCGCAGATCGCAGCCCCCCAGGGACGGCGAGGTCTCGTTCAGATCTGCGCGGTGCCTGAGTCCGCAGGACCCACCAGTAGCCCTCGAAAGAGGCGATCGTTTCGCAGATCGCAGCCCCCCCCCAGGGACCGCGAGGTCTCGCTCAGATCTGCGCGGTGCCTCACTCCGCAGGACCCACCAGCAGCCTTCGAAAGTGGCGACCGTTTCGCAGATCGCACCCCCCAGGGACGGCGAGGTCTCGCTCAGATCAGCGCGGTGCCCCACTCCGCAGGACCCACCAGCAGCACTCGAACGTGGCGACAGTTTCGCAGATCGCAGCCCCCCAGGGTCGGCGAGGTCTCGCTCAGATCTGCGCGGTGCCTGAGTCCGCAGGACCAACCAGCAGCCCTCGAACGTGGCGACAGTTTCGCAGATCGCAGCCCCCCAGGGACGGCGAGGTCTCGCTCAGATCTGCGCGGTGCCTCACTTCGCAGGACCAACCAGCTGCCTTCGCAAGAGGCGCCGGTTTCGCAAATCGCAGCTCCCCAGGGACGGAGAGGTCTCGCTCAGATCTGCGCGGTGCCTCACTCCGCAGGACCCACCAGCAGCCCTCGAAAGTGGCGACCGTTTCGCAGATCGCAGCCCCCCAGGGACGGCGAGGTCTCGCTCAGATCTGCGCGGTGCCTCAAAGTGGCGACCGTTTCGCAGATCGCAGCCCCCCAGGGACGGCGAGGTCTCGCTCAGATCTGCGCGGTGCCTCATTCCGCAGGACCCACCAGCTGGCTACGGTTTCGCAGATCGCAGCCCCCCAGGGACGGCGAGGTCTCGCTCAGATCTGCGCGGTGCCTCACTCCGCAGGACCCACCGGCAGCCTTCGAAAGTGGCGACCGTTTCGCAGATCGCAGCCCCCCAGGGACGGCGAGGTCTCGCTCAGATCTGCGCGGTGCCTCACTCCGCAGGACCCACCAGCAGCCCTCGAAAGAGGCGACAGTTTTGCAGATCGCAGCCCCCATCGTCGGCGAAGAGAGGGCAGGAGGAGGCGGGAGGCGGGAGGGGGAGGAGGAGGAGGAGTAGGAGGAGGAGGAGGGACGCGACCATAGTGCTCTATTCAAAACGAATGCCCAACCAAGGAGGGTTGGGAAAAAGGAACTCCCAGAATTCCAGTTTTTTTTTCAAAGTGGGACTCCGACCCGGAGTTCTGCGTCTCCCGGCTTCCCGGGGGGGGCCCAAGACGCCCAAGGCTAGCCCAAGACGACCCCAAGGAGCCCCCAGAACGCAAAGAGCGGCCCAACACGCTCCCGCGCAGCCTGAGACACCCTTCCGACGGCTCTCCAGGCCTCCAGGAGGCCTCCAGAACCCCCAGGGGGTCCGGAAGCCACACCCCTGAGGGGCCCGGCTAACAAAACCCGCGAGGCACAAGCAAAAAACAGCGCCGAACAGCGCCGAGGAACTGGAAAAAAAGGAAATCTCACAATTCCTTATTTTTTGTTGTTTTGGTTTTTCAAGTTTGACCCTCGGTCTACTCTTGCACAACAGACCACAATTCAGACCCCCTCACCTCCCCAAAAAACCAAGGAAGCCTTTGAGGGCCTCAAATCGTTGAATACCTAAAGGAAATTAATTCATGATTTCTGCGTTTCCGTACTTCCCCTTCTATGCGATTCCAAGGCTTGCGCAGGGCCTCCAAGGGAGTCCGGAAGCGACCAAAATGAGATTACATGAGCTGGCCGATCAAGCCTAACTACGACTGGGGGCTCGGGACCGCGACCTCGAGCGCGCATGGGGGTACCGGGGCCTCTGGGGCGCCCCTGGGACGGCTCCCGAGGGCGCTGGAGGCCGCCAAACAGATCAAGAGGGCGCACGAGCCTCGAAATGTAGCTTGAAGACGCCGACGATGGCTCCAAGAGGGCTCCCGGGAGGCCCCGAGACAGCCCAAGAGGGCTCTTTGAGCCCTCCCAAGAGGGCCTCACGATGCAAAGATGGCCCCGTCCCCGTCGGAAAACATACATTTTCAGGGATTCGCCTCTTGCCCTTCCAGGTGAACGAAGACGGCCCGAGAGGCCGCCAGGATCGCCCCAAAACAGCCGAAGAGGGTTCCAAGACAGCCCAGAAGGGCCCCTGGCTAGCCCAAGAGGTCCCCAAGACGGCCCAAGGGGGCTCCAAGAGAGCCCCAAAAGGCTCCCAAGACAGCGCCAAGGGGCCCAGAGGACGCCCCCAGGAGAGCCCTGGAGGGGTCGTGGTGGTGATGGGTGCAGTTGGCTTCAGTTCGTGTGCCGATTGTGGTCCTACCGACGATTCGGATGGTCGTGGCGGTGGCACTTGCCGTGGTGGTACTGATAGTATTCGTGGATTCGCGGCAGTGGCAGTGGCAATGGTAGTGGTATTGGTGGTGGTACAGGCAGAGGTTGAAACAATGGCCGTTATAGTGGTCGTGGACAGTGCAATCGTTGTGGACGGGGTGGTCATGCCCAGAATGGACATGGAATCAAAAATGGTCGTGACCGCGGTGATGGCGGAAAGGGCGGTGGTAGCCGTGGCGGCATTGGCGGTGTTGAGCGTGGTCACGGGAGTGACTAGAACCTGAGCGCGCGCGAAGCGCGCGCGTGGTTCTAGTATATAGATATGAGTATATACATATATGTATGTACATATAATATATATATATATATATATATATATATATATATATATCCGGGGAAGGTTACGACAATTTCTCATATGGTCTGAGAAGGCCTTCTCCTTCTCACTTCCCCCTTCGCTCGCCGCCAAGGTGTGGGATGTCCAGCGCCGACCCGAGAAGTCCGCGCTGGCCTCCGAGAGTTTATGTTTTTGCCGCTGTCGCGCTGCCAGCACCATGCACGGCTGAGGTCCGCTATGGGCCACATCCTGTTGCATGTCGATTCTCAGCCCGGCCGGGAGGCCATGTGCGTCGGGCGGGTGGGAATGGGGTGTGACCCACATTGGGGGTGAAGAAAAGGGCTCCTTTTATCGGGTCCTTTTTGTGCCGTCGTCGTGCTGCCAGCAAAATACACGCCTGTTGAGGCCCGCTGTGGTCCAGATCCTGTTGCATGCCGGTTCCCGGCCAAGCTGGGAGGCCATGTGCGAGTACCTCGATTCCACTTTTTGGGCCTCTTGCGAGGCCGTTGACGCAACCGCTAGATTCGCCTCGAAATCCAGGTCAGAACGCCGCCATTGCGGCCCCTCAACAGAAAAAGGAAGGCGCCGTAAGAGGCTCCAGGAGGCCCAAGAGGAGCCCTTCACGAGACTTCAGGGAAGCTCTGCAGACGCCCCCCAAACGCTCCCGGGGGACGGCCGCGAGACATCCAAGATGGCAAATTCGGAGGAGGCGGCCCCCTTTTCCGCAGTAGTCCTTCCCTCCTCGTCATTTCTCCTCTTCTCTCGTCGCTCTCCACATCTTTCGCCCCGCTTCCTGCTGCACTGCCTCGTTGTAGCCCCGACTAGAACAACGATGACTCCCACTAATATTTGTTTCCGTGTTCGGCCCTCCTCTAATTGTATCTGTGCCTACCGCTGGCGTGCCAACGACTTTGTCTCCAGCTCCCCCATCCATTGCCCTCTGGTCGTTCTCTGTCTCCCTCTCTCTTTCGTTTGTGTTGATGTGTTTATATCTCCTATTATTGTGGCAGGTTCTGCCCATACATCGTCTAGAGTTTGAGCGCGCACGAAGCGCGCGCTACATTACATATATACATACCTTGGTGTACGCATGTTTATGCCGCTCTCTCCCTCTCTCTCTATCTCCCTCCCTCTCTGTCTCGCCCTCTCTCTCTCTCGCTCTATCAGGTTATCTCTCTCTTTCTCGTTATCTCTCTCTTTCTCTCGTTCTCTCGTTATCTCCCTCCCTCTGACTCGCTTTTGTATCTCACTCGTTTTCTTCGTTCTGCCTAAATTTCTATAGTTACATATATACATTCACAGACACATATTTTTTATACAAGCGCCTCTCTCGTTGTGTATGTATATCTCTCTCTCTGTGGTCTTTCTCTCTCTCTATATATATGTCTATATATATGTGTATGTGTATATATATGTGTATATATATGTATATATATACATGTCCCCTCCCTCTCGCTCTTTCTCTCCCCCCTCCCACCCTCCCTCCCTCTTCCGCTCCTCACTGTCCGTCGACGTCCTGCTATTTCCCCTGCTCACCCCTCACCTCTCCTCCAATCTCCTGGCCACCTGGCCCTCCCTCGTCACCCCGTGCCCCCCCAAATATCCCAGACTCTCCTCACTCGTCGTCTTCCTCGTCCCTCCCTCCGTCCTTCCACATTCTTCCTCCTCATGCCCTCCCTTTCCCTTCAACTCCGCTGGTCGTCTCGTCCGTAAATTCGGGTATCTTGGTACCCGTCAGGCCTGGTGGGCTTGGTAATTCTCCCCGTCTTCTCTTCACGTTCCCTCCTCCTTGGTCCTCCCACCTCCTTCCTCGCCCTCTCTCCCTCCGTCTGGCTGTGGCCGCGTCGGCCAAAACGCTGGGAAGGTTGGGTGGCACATTGCTGCCAGAAGCTCCACAAGACCAGCGTCGACCTGCTCTGCAGGAGGGGGCGCGCGCGCGGGTCCCCGTCAGCGCGCCAGCGCTGGGGGGGGAGCAGACTTGCCACTACTAGGGATGCTGTGGCCCTTTTCCCGCTGGGAGACCCATCGGCCTCGATGCACCTCTCGACGAGCCGTCGGCACGATGGGCACCCCCAGGGCGGGAAGGACCGCAGTTGTCCCAGTTTGGGCTGGTCGGGGTGACGGGGGCCGGCGGGGTTCGCGGGGGGAGTAACAATTGTATGCTAACGAGGACGGCTTTCCTGTTCAATAAGTCGATGTGGCATTGCCAGACTGCCCCACGAAGCAATCTGTGTTTGCTGAGCAGCCCTCGCTTTGCGGGGGTAGGAAGCGATCCCTACCCTTCCAGAGAACGAGTTGTTCTGCACGATGGGCCCAGATACGTAGATCTTGCCGACGGCGCCATCCCGAGGTCGGAGCCAGAGCACTCATCGGTGCGCACGGACGCGCAGTGCAGATCTGTGATACGGGTGCTTCGTGCGCCGAGACTCCCCTCGACAAAATCTGGGCTAAGCCCGAAACGCTGGCCAACATGGGGAGGAGGCGGCGGAGAAGGAGGAGGAGGAGGAAGCGGCATCAACATACCTAGTTAGACCCGAGGAGGAGTGGGAGGAGGAGGTGGATGATGGAGGATGGGTATCTTAAACGTTGACGACGCGGACGGGGATGCGCGGGAAGATGAGAAGGATAACGATAAATGAGGAAGACGGGGGAAGCGGAGGAGTTAGAGGACGAGGATGAGAGGGGGGAGGGAGGAGGTACGAGTGATGAGGTGAGGGGGATGGGACACGAGCAGGAGGGGCAGGAGGAGGAGAGAGGGAGGATGAGGCGGAGGAGGACAAGGAGCATTACCACCAGGAGCCTGGACATGGATGAGCGCTGATAATGCGGATAGGGACGCGGCAAAGGACGACCGACGAGGCTCTTGTTGGGGGCGCAGCCTCCTCTCCTTTCTTCGACATTTCTGGGGTAGGCGAGGGAGGCGAGGGGGATCTACAGGTTGCCGAACGAGTCAAAGATCCTCCCGAGATGCTATTTCAGGCGAGGAAACCACGTGGACCGGTCAACTGGTGTTTATTAAACGGCCCCGGGCGTTCCTTTGGGCGCGTTTACTCAACGATTTCGCGTGTCGGGGTGGTTATTTTGTTTTTTTGTACTCTTAATTTTTGCAGGAGAGAGGGCCCCGTGGAGGAGGGCCGTGGCGGGCGGAGGCGGCGGCAAAAGGGCCGGGCCAGGGCGGCCAGCACCGCAGGCGCTACCGCGAGACGCACTCGATGGGCCGGGCCTTCCGAGGCTGGGCCGCCAGGCCTCCCGCGCGCGGGGTTGGCCAGCCTCCTTCCCGCAGGGTTCACGTTATTCTGGGTTTCTTAAGATAACCGCCCACCAAACCACCCCAACCCAACCCGAAGGCCCCGATTTGCCCTCAATTTCCAGTGGTGGGGGGGGTCGGGGAACATTGAAAAAACTCATATGACGCCCGTCCCCCCCCCCAACCCGAAATTCGGGTCTTCGGGTTGGGCTTGGGTGGTCTGGTAGGTAGTCATAATACGCGCGGGGGGGTACCCCCCGACGGGGGTCAACCTCGCCTCGTCGTCGCGCTGCGACGGGGGTCGGAGCGCCTTCGGCGCGCGGTGGCCGCCCGCGACGGGGGTCGACGTGGGGCTGTCGGCGGGGGTGACATCCCCCCGACGCTTATCAAGAACGCAGGCGATCGCAAGCATGGATTAAGGGGGCGTGGATTAGAGACGGGTCCCGTTTCCGAGGGAAATCTCGAATTTCCGCCGCCGAAGGAGGCGGCCCCGGCCGCATTTTGGGGAGGGCACCTCCCCTGATCCATGGATTTGGCGAGCGCGCGCCAAATCCATGGATCGCTAATCCATGTTTGCGCGTCCCCGATTCCCGCAGGGTCAACGTTATCGGGGGAGTGAGGTTTTCGGGTGTATTCGTTGGTTTCCCTCCTCCCCCCCTCGGTGCATCGCGGCCTAATTCGCGTTGGTTTACCCAACCGACGCCCCATCCGCCAGCGCAGTCCTTCTTCCCAGCCGCCGACGTAAAAGGTGTGTTCGTCGGTTCCCGCCGGCTTTGCAGCCTCGGGATGCCTTTCAGCAGCTGCGCGTTCCAGGGCTGCCCGAATCGTCCCGAACGGCCACCCGAAAAACACCCAGGGCGCAGTCAGGGCCAATGTTAGGGGAGGACGTCAGGGGCAACGGTAGGGAATTCGAGGTTCGAGGTTTGAGGTTTTCGAGAGTTTCGTCGGTTCTCAACGTCTTTCCGGCCTCGGGATGCTTTCCAGCAGCTGCGCCTCGCCAAGAACGTTCCGACAACAACACAGCCATGCGCCAGCTTATGGCACGGCGCCTCCGCAATGTCATTAAAGTTAAGGAGGGGAAGGAAGTGGAGAAGAAACACACACACACACTAATAATCTACGGCTGCGCGTGTTGCATGAGATCATGCACGCGCCACTGCCTTGGACTCCTCCCTCCTGGCTCACACACAAGCGCTATTAAACAATTTGTTTCGGGACGGCTCACAATTTGTCATATGATCGTACGTGTCGTTTCTGCAGCGTCTCACTCAGAGGAACAGCTTTCGCCTTGGATAACACAGTGGCGTTCGTAGTTCTGGAGTAGTAAGAATGCTCGATCTTCAATTTCACTCGGAGACACGATGCTTGGAAACTGTCCAGTCTGGTACGGCCTGCCTGTAATGACCCAAGGGAATCCAACTTGTACAAGAGCTTCGGGATCACAATCGCATCAACACACGCGCAGCTTCCTGTCTTCACTGATGCCCGTGAGGTTTCAGCACTTGTCCAACGCCTTGAGAAGCCCCCCTTGCCTCCTCCAGCCTTGACGAGCGCTCCGGGGGTGCCCGACTTGTCCAGAACGGCCGTTGGAGGCCCGAGCTGTGACCCGAACACCAGGGGGGGGGGAATAAGCTCAGGGGGGGACGCATCGACCCCCCGTCGCCCACTCATCGCCCATAGTCAGGCGATCGCAAACATGGATCGAGGGGACGTGGGTTAGCGACGGGTCCCATTTCGATGGGAAATCGTGGATTTCCGCAGCCGAAGGAGGCGGCACCGGCCGCATTCTGGGGAGGCACCTCCCCCGATCCATGGATTTGGCGACCGCGCGCCTAATCCATGGATCGCTAGTCCATGTTTGCGCGCCCCCGAGATAGGGGCCCGATAGCCCCCATCCCGCCCAGAGACGCGCAGAGCTGCTGTCGAGAGCACGTCGCCGACCTGCCGGCGAGGTGCCGCCGAGTCTGGGCCGAGGCTCCTCCCCCGAGCCGGTTCTCCTCGACGGTTGTCCGTCACTCCCAGCTCGCACTATGGAGCAGAGGTGTTCTGCAGGTGAGTCGTGCCAGAGGTGTCTCGCCGTTCTCGGGGGACGGGCGCTCCCGAGGGCCCGTTCCCGGACCCGTCAACAGCAGCGACGGCGTGGGTCGAAGAAGGTGTCCTGGGGAAAGCCCCGGGCAACCAGGATTCGATCGCAACCTGGCCCCTTTTCCCTCAAGCCAAATCCCTCGCCGACCTCGTCGTCCTCTCCGTTCTAAATCCTCCTGCTCACCGCCTTGCGGCTCATCCTGATCCTGCAAGTTTGCCTTTCTGTTCGTTATCCACGTCCTATTTTGATTGTCTCCCCATCCTTTTCCTTCTCGGTCTTGTACTCCTCATCATCCCCATCATCGTTACCTTATCTTCTTCCGCCTCGTTGTCGTCCATCCGCCTCTTCACCCTACCCCACGTCTATCCTCCTGCACCGTCTCACCCCCTTCGGATCGCTCCTCTTCAGCATGGCTTCCTTCCCACTGCTCTTGTCTGGGCCGATCCTTCTCAGTCAGCTCCTGATCATGCGTTGGCGTCCGCTTATGCTCCTCGTCTGCTCCCCGTGAACCCCAGGCTCCTCCACTCAGTGCTGGGCAAGAGTGCTCATTGACACAATTGTGCACGTTGGGCGCCACCGCCGCGCAAGCGTCCCTGCCATCCCGAGAAGAGGGGACGCGCATCCAGAAGTTGCGCCTCGATGCCTTGTGCTTCTCAGGCTACCAGAAGTTTGCCTGAGGTTATCCGACTTTTGATCCGTCCATCGATCTATTTACGCGACTGAGTAAGGGCGTCGTGTGAAGGTCCCTTGATGCCACAGTCCTTGTGCATGCCCTGCTGTCGCCAAACCCGCTACCTAGGGGACCGAGTGTGGCACGCAGCCGTCACACAAGCCCTGTGCTGGGCAGCAGCAGATTCGCATTCCGCTCAGGAGCTCACGAAAGAACAGGCGGTTGCGCAACGCACAGCATCCAGTGAGGCGAGGTCTGCCTTGGAACACCCGCAGGGCCGCACTCCGAGCTTTTTCACGAAAAGGCAGACAGCTGCGCAGCTGGCATAACCGAAGGCGCAGGCAGGGCGACGGAGGGGAAACATTCTGGGAAACTGGCAGTGAGGAGAGAAAGAGAGAGAGAGAGAGACATAATGAGAACGAGAGAGAGAGAGAGAGGGAGAGAAGGACAGAGAGAGCGAGCGAGAAAAAGAGAGCGACAGAGAGAGGTCGAGATGGATGAGAGAGGAGGCGAGGAGCGGGGAGGAAGGAGTAGGGAGGAGCAACCAGCACCCCCTCTCAATAATGAGGGCCGATCCCAGCGACGGCTGGCACATTAATCACTGCCACCAGCACAGGAAGCACTGTGCTCTGGATCTGATCCGATCCCTCTCCCTCTCCCTCCTCCTTCCTCCCTCCTCCCTCCTCCCTCCTCCCTCCTCCCTCCTCCTCCTCCTCCTCCTCCTCCTCCTCCTCCTCCTCCTCCTCCTAGCTCCTCCCTCCCCTGGGGAGGGGCGCGCTCCTCGCGGCGCAGGTGCGCGCGAGCCCGCGGCCTGGCGCAGGGCGTGCTCCGCTGGGCCGCCGGCGTCGCGACTGATCGGGTGCTGGCCTCGCTCTGCGCCTGGCGCAGGGTGCGCCCGCCCACGGGGGGTCGGGGACCTGAGGAGGGAGGCTCCCACGAGGAGGGGCTGTAGGAGGACGACGAGCAGTGATAGCCAGGGCCCCGGTTAAGGGGAGCGGGTTAGTGATGAGGCTCCGAGGTCAAACATCTGGACTGGAATCATTAAGCCAGGTCTGCCGTAGCTGGTGTTTTTCGGGTGACGGCAGTTCCGGTCAGTGGAATGGGGCGGGGGGGGTGTTCCCCAGTACACATCAGTAAACAAGGTCCCACTACACCCAGTTCTGTCAACGCCCGAGACGAGGACGAGGAGGAGGATCGCCCTCCTGGGGGAGGTCTATTTACCAGCCTGGCCCAGAGCCCCATGCCCACGATTGGCATCACATCTCGATGCCAATCTTAAGGATTCCCTCGGTTTGTGAGGGCGCATCCCTAAGATTGCCATCGCCTTTTAGCATGTCAGTCTTAGGGATGGGGATAAGTTCGAGGCTAGTTATCGAGGGGGAACAATGCCGAGTCAGTACAAGCCGCGTACACAGCAATTGTTGGAGCTCCGCGCGGATTTCTCGGATCCGCGCCTGGACCCCTTGGCGGCGCCTCCAGCACCGCCCCTGGCTCGCTCCGCGCGCCATTCAAGGGGAGGGTCCAAGCGTTGGTCCAAGAAGTTCGCGCAGAGCTCGCAAAGTTTATGCCTATGCAGTTTTTGTCTTCCTCTAGACCTCTCAGACGTGGAAAGGATGAGAGCGTGGAGTTCCCCCCCCAGCTGGCGCCGTCAGGGCCCCAGAGTGCCTCCGCGAGAGAAGCATGTGCAGCGGGAGGGGGGAGGCGTGAGCGGGGCGCGCCCATGGGGCCGCCCGACTTCTGCAGTCTCCCACCGGGACCGTCGCGCGGACGGGCCGCGGGAATCAGGGTCGACGTCGTGTGGGGACAGGCTCAGAGCAGATGCAGCGACCCCCAAATCGCCCGCTCAGCGCCGATGGGGGCCCGGTGGCTGCCGCCAACCATCGGCGATGGATCGCCCCTTCTGGCTCGATGCGTTCCCCGCTGCGCCGGTTCCCCCCTCCCCCCGAACGTTCCCTTCAGGGAGGGAGTTCGGCAGGTTCGTACGCGTCGTGACGAAGGCGGCCCCTGCCTGGGCGTTCAGGGATGAAGGCCTTCAGTGGCTCAGAATCTGCGTTGTCGGCAAGCGTCTATCGTTCCAGGTTGAACGATCCACGCAGCCCGACGTCATAACGACATGAACAAGCCGTAGAAGACGGTTGGCGGCGCGAACAGGGTTTTCGTCGACGATTTCGCCCCTTTCAAGTTCTGTGGCGTGTCTGGAGGTTCTTGCCGCTGGGCAGCTCGGAAAACTGGCTAGGACCTTCCAGGCCTTCTATGTGGTCATTTATTATACCCTTCCTCTCTCTCCTTGCCCTGCTCCTCGTTGCCCCCCCACCACCACCACCCACATGCCCCACTGAGCGACTCACGGACACCAGGTTGGTAGTTGTCAGTCTTCGTGGTGCCTCTGGCCGTGTCCGTGAGCAGTCGCACGCCATCGGATCATTGGTGTTGGTCAGCGCTGCTCATCCCCATCACATCGCCTGTTCTCCTCATGCTCCGCGTCCTCGCTGCCCCTCCTCCTCGCCTGGCCCCGCCCCCCCGAATCAGATCGCCGTGCGCCGCCGCGGGCTGCGGGCGTTGTCGGCGACGGTGCTGGTCCAGAGGCGCTCCAGGAGGGGGCGCCGAGCCGCGGCGGCCGGCCGCCGATCCTCGTAGGAGGGCCAGGGCCCGGGAGCCCAGGACTCGCCGAGCGCGTTCCATTGTTCGCAAAGTGCCTACTCGCAGACGACCGAAACAAAAAAAAAAACACATGCCTTCCCTCATGTAATTGACTGTACATCTCCCCCGGCGGATCCAGGCCATTTGCGAGTAGCTTCTTTGCGAGTAGTGGACAGTGGCAGACCCCGACTGCGAGCTCCAGCGAGGGGAAGTGTCGACTCTGCCAGGGTGGGACCAGGGAGGGCGTTTCGGCCCACGTGCCTGCAGTTTCCTCCGGCGTGCCAGCGTTCCCGCTTACCCAAGGTTCCCGCTTGCGGGCCCTCCTCCTCGCCATGCCCGCTCGGACATCGTACTCGAGGAGGCGTGCGTCGTCGCTCTCCTCCTCCCCTCCCCCTCCTCCTGAACCAGCAGAACCAACACAACGGCTGCCGTCCCAAGCCTTCCGCATTCAGGGTGCCCTTTTGTCCAGTCCCGCGGGGACGTCGGGGAATCAGCCCGCAGCGAGACCCCAGCCCAGGGCGCAACAAAACATGAACATCGGAGGTATGGGTCATTGTCCTGATCGCAGTCTCTGTTGAACGAAGTCCCTTTTCTGGCCTCCAGGGGGACCTCCTTGTCGCCACGGCTGAATTGGCCTCGAATGCCCGGGCAGATCGCGCCCCAGGAGAGGTTTGGGACGATCGACATGGGAACGGAAATAATGGGTACAACAGGCCGGCATCATTTCTTGCCCATTTTGGACAGGGCTCGCTGTCGGTGTCGCCGCGGACGTTGTTCATTTGATACAGTCGGGCATCCAAAATTCTGAGGAGATGGCGGAGGACGAGGAGGTTGCAGCCGTTTGGGTGGCCTCAGGGGATGGTGGGGGAAGTTGACGGGGTTGGTGGAGCATGGGAGGTGAGGGGCGCGTCGGAGGACAAGGGAGCACAGAGAGCAGGGAGAAGGGAGGGATCCAAGGGGAGGAATGAGGTATGGTGAGGCAGATGTAGGGTGGGGGGGGGGGAAGAGGCGGATCAGCAGGCGGATGAGAAGAGGGGGAATCAGAGGGATACGGATTTCCGCTCGGAAGTTTGTCAGACGATCGGCCAGACGGATCAACGGAAGCGTGCATAGTTACCAGTGACAGATGCAGGAGGATGAAGTAGATAATGGCGAAGGGGCCGAAGAGGAGGAGAGGGATGTTGGGAAGAAGAGGGGAGCGGAGGAGGAGGAGAAGGACAATACTGCGGTAACCACTTCTACAGGAGGCGGCGGAGAGGAGAAGAATGAGAGAGAGAGAGAGTGAGAGAGAGAGAGAAACATCAAATAACGAACGAGAGAGAGAGAGAGGAGGGCTTGGTGAGGACGTGGCTGGACAGAATAGGGGATTGGAAGAGACGAGAGACCTGTAGTAGGGATGAGGGTGGAGGGTGTAGGAATGAGGCTTGGAAGGCTTGGAGGGATGAGGGAGGAATGGGAGGTAGTCGACGGACGCGAGGGAGGAGGGATGAGCGAAAAGGAGTGCTGAGGATCGAGAAGGAAGGAGCGAGGAGGGAGGACGACGGAGGAGGGATGCAGGAGGGATGGATGGTAAGGAAAACGAGGAAGAGAGCGAGCAGGAGAGGGGGGAAAGGGAGCAGGAGGACACGAATGTGGAATGTGTGGGGATTGGGGGTTGGGGGGTTGGGAGTTGGCCAGGTGGGAGGCAGGGGGGGAGAGGGCAGGGATGACGCAGGGAAAAGGATGCTTTCACACAGATGCGCATTTGACAAGGGAGGAAGGGCAACAGCAGTGGGATAACGACTCGGCGAGGAGGGGTTGGACAAGGGTTACTAGTAGAAGGAGCAGAGAAGATCTGGCAATTCTATCTAGTGTTCGTCGAACCGTGACTGGTTCGGCGCGAGATCGTGCTTCGTCGCTCGGCGAGGTGATTGCATGTAGCCACGTACTTGGCCTCGTATGGATGATGATCACTGGGTTGTCGCGCTCGCCAAGTCTGCAGGCTCAGCGATTTGTGTGAGTCGTTTCCTGCGCGGCACGTTAAAAGAACGGCCCCAAGCGTGCTCGCCATGTGGCGCTGTACTCTGGTCAGGCAGCTGGCCATCCGCGGCACGTTGGCGCACAAGGAGCTCGGGCTGACAGCTGCCATAAGATGGATAGGAGGATGAGCAGCAGGCGGAGGGGGGAGGACGGCTCTCCCAATGCATGAGCACAGTACTTCGCTTCCGTTTGAGCTGCATCTCAAGCAGCAGAGTCTCCATGCGATTTGGAGGTGTTCAGGCTCTCGCGGCTACAGTGGGGTGCGAGGAGCGGTAACCCGCATTCCAACGGTAGCCGCTGCCAAGCGTTCTGCGCGGTGTCGGGACCACCCGGGCAACGCTTGACGATGTCCTCGGTGTGTTGTGGGACCTTTCGTTTTTGGGCAGGGTGGGAGAGAGACGGGGATACAGGCAGTCCGTTCGAATATCGTATCGAATTCTTGACGTTTCGCGCATCCCCACCAGTCCCCCTCGCCCCTTCCTCCCGCCCCCCCGCCCCCCCCAACCTCGGTCCTCGCTGCCGCTGCTACCCCCAGGGCTCCTCACGCACGCCACGCTGCGGCTGGTCAGCGGCCTCTCATCCCCCGCCCTCCGTCCGCCCCCTTCGCCCCCGTCCCCCACGCTGCTGTCCACACTGACTGCGGCTGTTAGCCGCTCCCCCCTCGCCCCCGTCCCCCGCCCCCCCGCCCCCCCCCGTCCCCGGCCTACTGCCCCCGTGGCTCTCCACTGACCCTGCGGCTGTTAAGCTGCTTCCCCACCCGCCCCCCGCCCGCCCCCTTACCCCCGCCCCCCACGCCGTCTTGCCCGCCCCTCCTCCTGTGGATGTCCCCCCGCAGGAGGTTCTCGGGCCCACCCTGTCTCTACTAGCTCTGCGGCTGCTAGCTGCGACCGCCACCCACACTACGTCCGTGCCCTCGGTGCTCCCCCCGGGGCGCTGGGGGCAGCAGGCCATGAACTTCCTGGACCCTCTGGCCCGTCCTCCTCCTGCGGCTGTCCCCCCGCAGTTGGTGCACGGGGACGCCCGTTGACTTCACTATCCCTGCGGCTGTTAGCTGCGACCGTCACCCGCAGTACGGCCTGGCCTTCGGCGCTCCCTCCATGGGCGCGGGCGCCAGGCGATATATCGATGGCCTCTCCGAGCTGCCTGGCCCGTCCACCCTCCTGCGGCTGGCCCCCCGCAGGAGGTGCACGGGCTTACTCACTGTATTACTCCCTCTGCGCTTGTTAGCTGCGACCGCCACCCACGGTACGTCCGTGGCCCTCGGCGCTCCCCCCAGGGCGCTGGGGCCAGCAAAAAAATAACTTCCTGGACCCGTCTGGCCCGTCCTCCTCCTGCGGCTGCCCCCCCGCAGGAGGTGCACGGGCACGCCCGCTGACTTCATTTTCTCTGCGGCTGTTAACTGCGACCGCCACCCACAGTACGGCCTTGGTCCTCGGCGCTCCTTCCAGGGGCGCTGGTGCAAGGAATCTATTTCGATGGCCTCTCCGAGCTGTCTGGCCCGTCCATCCTCCTGCGGCTGTCCCCCCGCAGGGGGTGCACGGGCTTACCCACGGTTAGCTCCTGCGGTTGTTAGCTGCGACCGCCACCCACAGCGCGCACGTGGCCCCCAGCGCTCCCCCCCGTGACACTGGGGCCAGTGTCAGCAGACAGCAGGGCCCTCCCCCTGCGGCTGTCTCCCTGCGGGAGGTGCTCTGGTCAACACAGTGCAACCTTGGCTTGCACCCGTCGCTCTTCTCTGGTTCCGTTCGGTGGCCGTGGTCCGTGGTACGTCGACTGGTTGGACGGCACGCATCGCCGACTGGGGTCCTCCCTGATCGAGGACTTCAGAGGGCACTTATTTGAGGCTGGCCTACGTGGTGTGGTCACCTGATTTGTTCTTGACGACGGCGGTGGCGCCCGTGCCCCACATTCGGCACATGCTGTCTCGCAGCCGAGGACAAGCTCGCCGAGGACAAGTTCGCTGAGGAGAAGGTCGCTGGGGACACGCTCGCTGAGGACAAGTTTGCTGAGGGCCACTGTTCGGCACGCGGGCTTGGCTGTCCTTGACTTCTGAGCGTGCTGCTTGCTCGTCGCTTCTGTCTCTGGCCGCGCCAGTCAGGCCTGCCCGACCCCTGTGACGGCGCGCGGCTCTCCCGCTTACGCTCGCGAACAAAAAAAGCATCCCCACCCCTCGTCCTCGCCCTCGCCGTCGCCCTCCTCCGCCTCCGAAGCCGGCGAAAACGCCAACCCGAGCTGATGCCGACCCCTTCCCGTCCTCCTCCTCCTCCTCCTCCTCCTTCTCCGTCCCCTCCTTCTCCTCTTCCCCCTCCCTCGCAAGGGCGCAGGGGGGGCCCGCGTGGCGACCCGCGCCGAGGAACGCGCTGCTCGCCTCCAGGGTGCCCTGGGCATCTTGGGATTCGATGGTTTTGCCGTGGGGGGCGTGGCGCCCCTCGCCAAAAATCAATGGGCGTCTTGGGTCTAAAGGTTCGGCATCTCGTGGGCGGCCCCCTGCGGGCTGGCCCCCGCTGCGAAAAGGGGGGGGGGGGGGGGCGAAAAGGGGCGGGGGAGAGGAGAAACAACGACAACGCGAAGAGGAAGAACCACAACAACACAACAAACAACAGCAGCAACGACCTCAACAACATTACGAACACCCTTTGCAACAACAACCAACCAACCAACCAACCAACCAACCAACCAACCAACCAACCAACCAACCAACAACAACAACAACAACACCAACAACCACAACGACAACCGCATCGCCATCCACAACAACAGTGCTACCAACGTCGACGCTAACAACACCACCACCAACAACGCCAACACCAACAGCAACAACACCAACACCACCAACGACAGCAACAAAACGTGTCTTGGATCCCGCCGCCGGCCGCAGTCGTCCTGCGAACCCGTCTCCTCGAAGGGGGCCCGAGTCGGGGATTTTCGCATCACCGTCGCCGGGGGGGGGGGATCTTTGGTGACTTCGGCAGGCGATGGACATCGATGAATCTGGGCCCACAGGGCCCGAATATACTGATATCCACCACCCGTTGGGACATCAGCAAATCGACCCCCCAGGCACTGGTGGCGCATGAACCCCTGGTTCGCAGGGGGGATCAGCACCGGCAGCAGGACGAGCTGGAGGATGACACGAGGGGCCAGCTGGCCCCTTGTGTCATCATCCAGCTCGTGCTGGCCACTTAGAAAGCGGTGTTGGCACGCCTTTCTCCTGTCTAGACTGGAGAAGGGCGTGCCAACGCAGCTATGTAAGTCAGAGCGAAAAGGAGGATGAGGGCAGGGCAATGGGTATATATTGATGAAACGATGAGGGACCACAGCTGTCCGTGCGCACTGGGATCCCATCAACTGTGCAAGCCATGTCCCACTTCAGAGCTTCCAGCTCATTTCCCACATCATCCAACTTAGCGTAAATACCAAAGGTTTTGTCGAGATCAGAAGGCACCGCAGGCGTTTCCGCGAGCTCTGACGTGATCACCTGGGGGGCCCATAGTGAGCCTACCCCCTTGGAATTCCGCATCACCCCCCCCGGGGGCCGGTCGTGCATAACCTTCGCGATTCGTCCTCTTCCTCCTCCCCCTCTTCCCCCTCTTTCTTCTTTGTGTTTAGTGAGCGCGCGCCTGCACGTAACTCCCCCTTTCGCATTGGCTCCTCGTGCGAACGTTTCCTGGTCTTCGGGTCTCCAGGGGCGGGGCACCAAGA